ACGCTCTAGTCGTTTAGTTTCGAAATTCATCATGGACTGAAACATGATGCGCACGGCCCCCTAGCCCCCGCCCCCCTCTTGGCCACTCCCGATCCATATGGGGAGTTAGGCCCGAAACCTTCCGGGGAACTAAGATCATTTAAGCTAGCAAACGTTTCCTTCGGACTTCTAGAGCCATCTGAGGCCGCAGCATTACCTTCCGTTCGGCCCTCCTCTATCCTCACTTCTCCATCCTTCTCCTCCGCGCTCTTCCCATCATGCCTGGTGATCCCAATTTCAACCTAGTCGCTCCCCATTGTCTTCCCGCTCGTGACTCGCCCAAGCGCGTCATATGATGGGTGCCGCCAAGGGAGATCTAGCAGCGGGGATTCGGTGTCCAAGACTCGAATCTGGTGAAGTCCCTGCGGGATCAAGCTCTGGAGGCCTAGATCCCGCTCGCGCGAGTGCGAGACCAACGAAGAAGGCGGGTCGATCCAGGCCCGAGAGGGTATCGCGACCCCAGCGGAATTGCTCACTCACCTGATCCAGGAAGGCCTCAGGTCCCAGGAACCGCTCCCGAACCCCCTATCCACAGACCGGGGCCGAGGGGAACCTCTGCGCGATTCGGTCCCTGGAGGAGAACGCCGAAAGATCCTTCAAAGCTAAAGCCTGAGCGTCCGAGCCCGACCGCAGTCTTCGAACGCGCTCCCTCTGATCGGGTTCCGGCCACTGCTCAAGGGCCACCCAGGTGCACAGAAGGGAGGCGTGATGCCCTCCTCGCCGAGGTGCCTGCGCCCCCTCCTGCGCAGCGATCGCGCCCGCCTCCGCCTGCCGGAGCCTGGTCGCCAGCCTCGCGACGCCCTGATCGGTCAGTTGTGTCGAAGGCGACGGCCGGGAAGACTGAAGCGCGGAGGCGACGTGATTCTCCTGGGCGGCTGCCACCTGCTCGGCCACCGCGGGCATCTGGCCCAGCAGCGTCTTCATCTGGCTCGCGTGGAGCTCGGACGTAGGCGCCCTCGCCCTCGGTCCCGGGGAGGGCGGGCTCTTGGCGCGCGTCGGGCGTAGACCTAGAGACGGCGGCACTGCCGCCGGGGGCGGCCTCGCCGTCGCCCTCTGCGTGGGCGCCATCATCGGGTAGTCGATCTGCTGATGACTGGACAGGCCCCGAGGCCGCGGAACTATCGCCTCGAGAAGATCGCGAAGCACCTGCTGCGCGAGCCAGGGGTCTCTCCCTCCAGGTAGGCCTCCGAGAACCGCTTCACCTCGTCCTTCATCTTGAGGCCGGCCCCCTCCTCGATGTTCCTCGCGCGGTCCTCGGCTTCGGCGGCGGCCTTCTCCTCGGGGGCCTTGTCCCGCGAGGACAGCCGCGTCTTGCGCGTGCGACAGTGAGAATGCGCGCTCGCGCCGCTGGAGGCCTCCTGCGTCGCCCACTGCGGACGCGGGCAAGACTCCCGGTCGCCGAACTCCAGCCCCACCAGGGCCGGCCAGAGCAAAGCGATCCCGCTCATCTGAGCGCGCGCCGTCGCGACGCGAAGAAAGCGGAAAGCGAGCGAGCGCCGCGTCAGCTGGGGCCTCGAGAGAGGAAGCCCGCCCACGCTGAACATCTCGCGCCCGCGGTCTCCGAGCTCCCCCCCTGGAAGTCCACGTCGAAGATCTCCTGGGAGATCTCGCCCCAATCCTATATCTCGACGTCCTCGCGGGCGCCCCTCAGCAGCGCCGCTGCCCTCCATCTCGGCCGCGGGGACTTGATCGCGAGCTTTCGGGCCATGGCGCTGGGGCAAGAGGGGCTCGGGCACTGGGGAGCCCTGCGCTTATAAGAAATGGCTCCAGAGATCGCGCCGCGGGGCTGGGTCGCGGCCCCCCCGGGGCCCGACGCGCTCCCCGAAGAGGGGAGAAACGAACCAGCTTGCTCCACCTGACTAACTGCCCCTCCCTCCCTCAGGCCCTGACGGACTTCAGATGGGATCCTGCGCGTCGCGTCGGGGTGGGCCCGGAAGTCCTCGGGCTCGCAGTCGATCAGGCTCGCGGACCTATGGCCCGCTGCGTGACGCACCAGGGGTCGCTTGACCTTCTCGAAATCCCCCAACGCGATTTCATCGTTCACCAGGTCTATGACGGCGGGGGAAGACTCGAGGAGGCGCGCTGGGAGCAGCGGGGGACAACGTCCAGGCTGGGCCAAGAACTCTACGATCCCGTACTTCCAGGTGCTCACGGGAACCCGCGCTCGGCCCGCGGGGCCCAGTCTTCCTCCGACGCCACTCGCGACCATTCCACTGACCAGACCCTCCTGGACAAGTATGCGGAACCCCCGTTTCTCGAACGCCTCTCCCACGATGACAAAGTCCTCGGCTTCCACGAGCGCTTGTCCCGCAGCCGCGTCGACCAGAGCGTGGCCACCCAGGTGTCGAAGCGAAAGGGGCGGGCTCGAGACCTGGAACGCGCTCATCAGGATATTCCAATCTGAGACCGTGATGGCGGAGAAATTGCCCTCCGAAGCATCATTCGCGTACGCGACCCCCTCGCAAAAACAAGCGAAATCTTCGAAGAACGTCGGGGTGGCGGCGTCTGGTTTCTTGGGTCTTTCTCCGGCCATGCGACCGGCATTTGATCGGAATGGGCTACTGCGCGTCTCTGCCGAATGTCCTCGTTCCCCGCAGTTCGCGCAGCGGGTTCGTTTCTTGACGCCGGTAATAACCAAACGTTTCAAACCTGGTTTTGCGGCCCGGCGGCGATCGCAGAAGCCCCCGTCCACCTTCTTTGCTGCCTTCATACGTCGGGCCTCCGCCCGCGTCCTGCGCCCCCCCTTCCCTAGGCGATCCTCGACCACGGCGGCAAACATACCCAGAGCCTCAGATTCCCTTAGATCCTGCTCCTCTGGAGTAGCCAGAAAGATCTCCACTCAAGTACACTTCTCGAACCTCGTCGTCTGAACGGGCGCTGCTAAAGGCTGCTGCGGCGCTGACGGGGTCCACCTCGTCGTGGGCAGACCTCGCAATCGTAGGGTGTGACGTGGGGAGCATACTCCGCGTTTCAATTACATCTAGAAGCAACGTCGCCGCCCGTATGGATGCAACGTCTTTCTTACCCACTGCTAACGTCCTCGGGTTTATCTGATTCTGGACGGAAAGACACGCGCCCTCCTCGAGATAACGCTCACGTACCTCGTCGGGCAATACTAGAGTGTTTTCTGCTTCAGTAATCTCCGAGTCCTTGCGCGGTATAAAATCAATGGGCGATTTTTTTTTTGCGTATTATAAAATTGAATCGTGCGGTGTTCTGGGCGACGCGTTGTCCGGCCGTTTTTCATTCAACAACGATAAATGATCCAGAAGCTCGTTCACACCATCATCTGAAACGAGATCATCTGTGACAGTCTTCAAGCGAATCTGGAGCTCGACGGTAAAACTTTTTAGAATACGGCCAGCTCTAGTCGACGGGCGAAGGCCAGTCCTCTTCGTCCATGCCGTTCTGATGTGACAATAGTGTCTAGACTGTCAAGTCCGAACCAAACTGGAGGGGCGCCGAAGTGACGAATTGGCGTCCCTGTGTCTTGCCACGATCCTGACCAGACCTCTCCTCTACAATACCAGCCAGTCGCTGCCCAGGCCTGCTTGCTATCGCACCAGTCCCAAGCGTTCGCGGCAGGCTGCTGCCTCTGGCCCTGTCCTGCTGGAACTTCTTCTGCGGCAGTCGGGTGCCGCTGGCCTTGAAGTGCTGGAACTTCTTCGACAGGTGGAAATTGTTCTCCCTGCTGTTGTCTTGGCATGCCTCGCGACTGCTGCGTACCGTCCGCGCTGGTTACGCCCATCTTCTCCGCAAGGCTCTCGGGCATACGCTCCGCTTACCACTGTCACAGACTGCAGGACATTAGGCGCTGGAAGGTCCAGAGAAGGCGGGGCGGAGTGGGGGCGTCCTTCCTGCGCGGAGCTCGGCACAAATCCTGAAACACGCGTCAAGCCGAATAGCTACAGAAGAGATCCAAAGGGAGCTGGGACACACGCGGACAAGAGGGCCCACTAGGGCCTCGGGAAAACAGAAGGGGGAGGGGGAAGGGGTGTCTGGCTCCGGACCTCTACTTAATGAGACTGTTTGCAGCAGTGCGTTCTATTGGAGAGACTCCATCTGCTCGGAACAAGCACCAAAAACAGCCAAAATCCACTCCATGGGGGGGGGAGAGGGAGGGGGGGGGACGGCCCGCGCAAATCGGCAAAACAATGAATAAGAAAACGATCACATGTGCTACCGGAGACGCCTGCACGAAGCGTTGCTGAATGGGGGGAGGGGCGATCAGTGCGGCGGGGAGAAACGTGCACCTTCCGTGCCCCCCCCTGGGCCCCGAGGGGCCCCATGCATGGCCCCTTTCGGGCGCAAGAGATGTTCCTTCATTCCCCCCCCCATGCATCTAGAGGCCGCCTGGATGAAGTCCGAATACAAGGGGTCGGGGGATCGCGCCGCATTGCCGATACATCGGCGATGCATCGGCGACACATCGGAGATGCATCAGCGGCGTCGGCGATGCGTCGGCGTGAAGCAAATCGGGCCCCACATCGAGCCGCATCGGCGATGCATCGGCGATGCAGCGGTATCCTCCGACCCCATCTGCTCCGACCTCATTTTCGGGGGCGGACAAGAGGGGGGCGTCCAAGAGGGGGGGGCGCAAATCATGGCCGGCGGCATGTGCGCGGCCAAGGGGGGGGGAAGCCAGGGACGTAGTGAAGTAAGAAGAGGCGCCATGAAACCTAAGGAAATAGCATGGCCCGCGTGGTGATATCCACCCCTCCCCTAGTCATCACCCCCCTGTTGGCCGCCCCCGGCATCTGGGAGGCCTGGTGCCTAGATTTAGGTCGGGCATGTCCTCCGACAGCCGGATTTTTGGCGAAAATCCAAATTAGTCAAGACATGCTCCAAAATGGGTAGAACAAATTGAATCGTCCCCAGACTATTTTTATTTATTTCTGGATATTCTTCCTATAGAGGAACACTCCCGACTTAAGCCCAGAGCCTAGATTATCGCCACCCGCCTGCACGATCTTCCGGTCCCCGCGCAGACCCTCGGCGGCGTAGCGCAAGGCCTCGCCGCTGACCTTCACGGCCTTGGCGACCACGACGCGGTCGGCCCGCAGCGCCTCTGAAGCATGCTGAAGCGCCAGGCCGTCCTGGCTGTGCGGCAACCGACCACTAACCAACAGCAGACATGACTGTCCCTGTTGCGGGCAAAATTCATATAAACATCCATATCAAGCCTGCGTCTTGGATTGTTTTTAGAAAGGGGGCGCCACACGGCCGAGGCGCACTGATATGGATACATATCGAGCTTCCAAGGGGACAGTTGTTTCTAATCATTATCCAGTGCGCCTCGGGCTTCTGGGGAAGGGAAGCCCAAACTCCCAGCTGCAATGGACATGGACGGAAGTATTGCCCGCAAACGTTTGACATACATTGGTAACTCTCGTCTGCTAGAATCTATGCTAGAATGCGAAGCCTCCAAGGGGGGGGTTCGAGCACATTGCAGCGGAGGATCGCGCCGCATTGCCGATGTAACAGCGACGTCGGCAATGCAGGGGCGACGTCCGCGTGGAGAAGATCGGGTTCCACATCGAACCGCATCGTTAATGCATCGGCGATGTGGCTGAGCTATCCGCCCCATTTGCGAGGCCTAGAATAGCGGTGCAGTGGTTGCAATGATGAGCCACGTCTACATGCCACTCCTTGACTCGCCCCGATCTGTGGCCGCCGCAATCGCCGCGGCGACCTCCAAAACCGACCCAGAGGTTCGGCTCGGGGTCGGATCTCTCGCATCGACGTCCTGCGCCACGCAGAGCAGCACCAGCCTCCTGTCAGCCTGGATGTCGTGCGGGGCCAGCGCCAGCTTCCACGGGTCCCTGGTGACCTCTTCCTGCCAATTTCGCACCCTGCCCGCCCTGCTAGCGCCCCGAGGCGAGCCCTCCTTGGCAGAGTCCTTCCTGCGGGACATCGGCAAGATCAACCAAGAACGGATCGGGGAACCCGGCTCGAGGCGGAATATGCGCATCGAACTGGGCCACATCGGCACGGAAGCGAAATCGAATCGGACCGGCTGCGCCAGGATACGCAAGCAAGTGTCAGGACCCATCCGATCGTGGGAACATCATCGGAATCAAATCGGATGGGGCCGGCCGGAATCTATGTCGAATGTGCGAAGCGGGCTCGTCCCAGGCAGTGGAGATGGACAAATCCCAGCCTCGAAAATTAGCTGGATCCAGCAATCCACCCGCTCGGTTCTTAGAGAATATCGTTCTATCGATATACCTATAAATCTATATATGAAAGAGCGCGTTTCACGGGCGCTTGCCTTGGGAACATTCGGCGGCGCGTTTCGAAACCCCCCTCCCCTCCAGAACCCCCCCCCTCCCGAACCCCCCCCCTTCTCCAAAGGGGGGGGACGGTTCAACCCCCCCCCCCCTGGGCGCCGGCGCCGGCGCTGGCGGCCGCCCGCAGCGCCGACGCTGGGGACGCAGCGACGATGACCAGAGGCTGCCAAAAACGGTGGGGAACAACCCCCCCCCTCTTGGCACTGGCGCCGGCGTCGGCGCTGGCGGCGGCCAGCAGCGCCGGCGCTGGCGCCGGCGACGGCGGGGACGCAGCGACGATTACCACCACTACCACGACCACCACCACCGCCTCAACCAACCACCACCACCACCAACCCACCACACAACCACCACCACCACCACAGCCACCACTACCACCACAACCACCACCACCACCACAACTTACCATCACCACCACAACCCCCCCACCACCACTACCACCACCACCACCACAATCTACCACACCACCACGACCACGACCGCCACCACCGCCACCACTACCAGCAGCACAACCACCACTACCACATCCACAAACCACCACACCACCACCACAACCACCACCACCACCACAAACAACCGCCACCACCACAACCCACCACCACCACCACCACAATCCACCACTTCACCACCACCAAACCACCATCACCACCACATCCCACCACCACCACCACCACAAACCACCACCACACCACCACCAAACCACCACCACCACCACCCACCACCACAACCTCCACCACCACCAGAACGAACCACCACACCACCACCACCACAATCACCACCACCACCACCACAATGCCACCACCACAACCCACCATCACCACCACCACCACCACCACCACCACCGTCGTCCTCGTCGACGCTCCCCGCCGCCGCCGCCCGCCGCCGCAGGCGCCAGTGCCGGCCCAGAAAAAGAAATCGTCGTCCCCTCCGCCGCCGCCAGCCGCCGCCGACGCAGGCGCCGGCCCGAAGAGGGATGGAGAGAGGAAAAGTAAGGGAGAGGAAGGGGGGGGATCTGGTTCCACACCCCCCCAGCCCCTTCGAAGCGACCTCAGAACGCGTTCTCCCCTATCTATATCTATCTATCCATCTATCTATCTATCGATCTATCTAACTATCTATCTATCTATCTATCTATCTATCTATCTGTATATATATATAGAACCGTTACAGGCAAGCTGTCAGGGGAGAACAACCACAAGTGCCCGAAATGATGTAGGATCAAAAGCTTTAAAACATCCTCTGGGTGAGAAATCCGCCGCCGTGCCACGATGCACGACTTGGAGCAGCACCCCCCGGCCACGTGAACCCCCAGTCCCCGCCCCCGATCACGAACTTGCCACCGCTCGGACGCCCATTCCCCGTGCACTGTTCGCTCTCGTGCGTGCTTTTTTGCCACACGAGCCAGGACTCTCCTCGATGGCACTCGTCGGGAACAAAAACATGCACACGCCCGAGCGAGGCCAAATACATCAGGGCAAGTCCCGGACGCAGAGCGGCCCCCCGCGGAGAGCTCGCAGGGACGCTCGGCGCGAGCGCCTCGGAGGCAGATATGCCCCCTAGAGGCATCCTAGATGGGGTCGGAGTTGATGGGGTCGGAGGATCGGGCAGCATCGCCGACGTGGGCGATGTATCGGCGACGTCGACGTGAAGCAAATCGGGCTCCGCATCGAGCCGCATCGGCGATGCATCGGCGATGCGGCGCGATCCTCCGACCCCGTCTGCTCCGACCCCATCTTCTGGAGCGGCCAAGAGGGGGGTGTCCAAGAGGGGGGGGTGCAAATCATGACCGGCGGCATGTGCGCGGCCCAGCGGGGGGTCCAGGGACGTAATGAAATAAGCAGAGGCGCCCTGAAATCTGGGGAAATATCATGGCCGACGCCATGATATCCACCCCCCCCTCATCACCCCCCTCTTTGCTCCCGACATCTGGGAGCCCTAGACCCCCCCCTCCCCAGACGACCCAATAGGGCCCCAACCGGCCAGATATCCCAGGGTGCCCCGCGAGCTCCCGCAGGCCTCCTCCGGGGCCTCCCGCGCGGCGGGCCCGATGCCTGGCGGCCCCGAGAGGGCCCCCAAGAGGAGCCACCAAGAGTCGGTCCAATGGGGGCTCTGGGTCGGCCCAAGATGAGCGCCCCGCGAGGCCCAAGATGGCCCCCCTGACGGCCCGATGGGGGCCCCCGAGACGCTCCAAGGAGGCTCCGAGAGGACCCCCGAGAGGCCCCCAGGATCGCCCCAAGACGACCCAAGAGGCTCCCAAGGGGGCCCCGAGAAGGCCCAGGGGTGGAACCCGAACTTGCATCTGGACCCATCCGCCCCGACCCCCGCGACCGCCAGAGGGCCACGAGAGCCCCCCCCCAGCCGCCTGAAAAAATCGTCAATCGGCCCCTAAACCAGAGATCGAGGACAACGATGTCTAAAACGCGTCGGCGATTAGAACGAAAAATGGAACGAAACCGAATTGGTGCGGTCTTACTCCATACGTTTCCACTGTGTAGTGCGCACCGCACGGGTAACCCACCAGCGGGTGGGTCACCCGAGCACCTTGGGAACAGATACTTGTTTATCTTGCTTTCCCGGTCTCAACATGAGCTTTTAATTGTTCTTGGCCACTGCGCAGCATATGTAAAAACACTCCGAAGAAAACGGTTACTTTCGACGGCCGTTGTTGATATCGACAAGTATCACTGGAAAACCACCGCGCAATTAGTGTGAAAGCACACAAAGGGCAGTCGTTCATTTCGACGGCCGTTGTGTATCTCGGAGCGTATCCCTGGAAAACTACCGCGCAACAAGTATAAAAGCACACAGAGGGCAGTCGTTCATTTCGACGGCCGTTGTGTATCTCGGAGCGCATCCCTGGAAAACCACCGCGCAATAAGTATGAAAACACACCATGGATAAGCGTTACTTTCGGCGGTCGTGGTGTATCTCGGAGCGCATCCTTGGAAAACCACCGCACAGGAAGTGCGAGAGCACAGCCGACGACGACGACGACGCCGATGCCGACGCCGCCGACGGCGACTGGGGAAGCCCGCCACTGTTCCAAAAGCATGGTGGGAGCGTGGCTGGGGTTCTGCACCTCGAACATGCCCGTGCATTGTCCCAAGGGGTCCATGCTGGAGCCCTCTTGGGGAGCCTCTTGGGCTGCCTTGAAGCCCCAGGGCCCGATTCAATAAACGAATGCCGTGCGTTCGGGAAATCCCCCTACCAGCCGTCAATCCTCATCCTCCTCCTCCTTCTCGTTCTCATTGTCGGCATCGTCGTCATCGTGTCATCATCACCATCGTAGTGATCATCATCATCATCATCATCAGCATCATCATCATCATCATCATCAGCATCAGCATCATCATCATCATCACAATCATCATCACAATCATCACCTTCATCACCCTCATCACCCTCATCACCCTTATCACCATCACCATCATCACCAGCATCACCATCATCACCATCATCACCATCAGCACCATCAGCACCATCATCATCATCTTCATCATCATCATCACCATCATCACCAGCATCACCATCATACACAACCATCATCACTATCATCACCATCATCACCATCATCAGCATCAGCACCATCACCATCGCCATCACCATCACCATTACCATCAGCATCATCATCATCATCGTCAGCATCAGCATCAGCATCATCAGCATCATCACCATCATCATCATCACCACCACCATCATCATCATCATCAGAAACAGCATCATTATCAGCATCTCCCTCCTCTTCCTCGTGCTCGTCTTCGCCCTCGTACTGTTTCTCCCCTTCCTCCTCCTTGTCCTCCTCCTCCTCCTTTTCATCCACCTCCACCTCCGCCTCCTCATCCTCATCATCCTCATCTTCATCCTTATTCTCATCCTTATCGTCAGTATCAGTACCCGTATCAGTATCAACATCAGTATCAGCATCATGTTCATCGTCATCATCATAATCATGGGCATCACAATCATCACTAGCTTCATCATCACCAGCATCAGCATAATCATCATCAACATCATTATCATCAGCAGCACCTGCACCATCATCATTATCAGCCTCAGTAGCATCATCACCCCCCTTCTCTCGAGGGGAACCTGTGGAATATGCAAAAATTACGCGACCAAATGACACCCCAAGTATATCACAGAGAACCGCGCGGAATCCTGCGGGGTCCTACGGAACCCGCAGGATCCGCACGGAATCCCGCGAACGTCCAACAATCACGGAGGGCCCAAGCGAATTCAGAGGAACCACGCGGAATCCTTGGGAGTCTCGGGCCCTGAAGTCTAGAGCTCAGAAATCCTTGGCCCCGGAGTCCCGGAGTCTCGTGCCAAGAAGTCTTGGGCCCTGGCGTCTACTGCCCAGGAGTGCAGGGCCCTGGAACCGCGGCGTACAGTCATCGGCCTGACCGAAGGAACGATAAATAAGGAACTAAGTCCCTTTTTCCACGAAGGAACGATCAGTAATACAAAACGCATGAGGAAAGATAAACAATTCATGCAAGCCTAAGGGACGACCGAGCCCTTTTTGAAAAGTAAGTGTTCCTTATTCAAGCCTCTCACTGTAAGGCCAAGGAGCCCCGGTCCCCGGAGTGCAGGAAACACGAATCATGGTCCCT